TGGTGAGGCTTGAACTCTGGGCCTGGGCGCTGTCCCTTAGCTCTTCAGCTCTAGTGCTAGTGCTCTAGTGCTCTACCACTTGAGCCGCAACACCACTTCTGGTTTTCTGGTGGTTTATTGGAAATAAGAGTCTCATGGATTTTGCTGCCCAGGCTGGCTTTGAACAGTGATCCCCAGATCTCAGCCTCCTGAATAGCTAGGATTACAGGTGTGATCCACCAGCTCCTGGCTAGTATTGGACAGTTTAAGATGATCCCTCCATCAGCACCTGTTCCCAGCTGTTTTTAAATCTCCCCCTGGTAGAACACCCAGAAGATCAGAATGCAGCAAAATGAATGCATAGAATTTAGAGTCTGTGCTTACATCTTGCCTTTTCTCATTTTCAATTCAGACATGCTGGCTCTTTGTTTTCTCATTTACAAAATTTATAAAAGACCACCTTCTTGAGTCAGTTAAAAGAATTGAATAAAATGGGCTCCATGGCTCATGTCTGTAATCACACCTACCTGGGAGATGGAGGTTGGAAAATTGCAATTCAAGGCCCACATCCAACCCTCTTATTTATTTTAGAACTTGATTCTTAACATGTTTAACATTTTGCTCAAGAGGAAAATCAGTTCATATCAAAGACTGTCCTGGAACCCAGATTGGTTTTATTGTTCCACTAGGAAGGCCACGGTCGGGTCTGAGAAGTCATGAAGGGTGGGACATGAAGTGAACAGAAGGATGCTGTCTTGGAGACTTGGGCCAGTCAGGAGAGTAGCAGAGATTCATGGTATTTCTAGAGGGGATCTGGGACCATGTAGAGATGGTGTCTCTGTCCTTAGCTGGTGTGATTTATTTTGGGACTCAAGGCTTTGGCGCACCCCCAAAGCTGGAAGAGGACGTTTAGTAACTGCAGTAGCACCAGGTGTTTTGTGGATCCAGAGGGATTAACAGCTCTCAAAGCTAAGATCAAATCTCTGACCAAGGAGAATGGAAGATAGAAGGACACAGGATAGCAGATCAAGGACACATGTAGAGTTACTCACTTGGGAAGATAAAACAAGCACCATAGGCAGGAAGGACAGCTTGAATGTAAACACATAATAAATCAAATTTCAGGTCAGTGACTATTCCCTGCTTACCATTGGTGGGAGAGGCAAGAGTGTAGTGTATGTTGGTTTGTGTATGTGTGTACATGGATGTACCCATATATATTGGACTGGTTACTATGTAAACACATAATAAATCAAATTTCAGGTCAGTGACTATTCCCTGCTTACCATTGGTGGGAGAGGCAAGAGTGTAGTGTATGTTGGTTTGTGTATGTGTGTACATGGATGTACCCATATATATTGGACTGGTTACTATTTTCTCCAAACACGTGGGAGAAGTGGAATGCATCCGCAACATCCAAAATGTACTTAGCATGAGCTAACACTCCCTTTATTCTTAGCCCTGGATGAGGCCTGGTGAGAACTTGTGTCTACTCTCTTAGGCTTACATAAGGGCAAGTGCTGAGGCCCTGGGACAGTTCAGAAGAGCACTACCCATGAAAAGAGAATCTTAGCCACATATGTAATTCAATATTTTCCAGTAGCCACAGTAAAATAGAAGAGATGAAATTAATTTTCATCATACATTTTATTTAACCCATGTATCCAAACATTATTAAATGAGATATTTTACATTCATTATTGTGTTCTAAATTTTCTAGTCCAGGGCACATTTTTACACCTATGCCATTTCTCTTCATATTTGTCACAGCTCAAATATTTAACAGCCACAGGTGGCAACTGGCTACCATATTGCACAGCAGAGAATTAGAAGAGCTGTATGAAGCTGTTAGGTAGTTAGAAAATGGGGAGGGCTGGAGGCACGACTCAAATAGTAGAGTGCCAGCTTAGCAAGCATAGGATTCAGAGTTCAGGGCTGGGAAGGTAGCTTAGTGGTAGAGCGCTTACCTTGCATGCATGAGACCCTGGGTTCGATTCCTCAGCACCACAGCACCACATAAGCAGAAAAAGCTGGAAGTGGCGCTGTGGCTCAAGTGTTAGAGTACTAGCCTTGAGCTGAAGAGCTGAGGGACAGCGTTCAGACCCAGAGTTCAGGCCCATGACCGGATCCAAAAAAAAAAAAAGATTCAGAGTTCAAATCCCAATACCACCAAACACCAAAAAAAAAAAAAAAAGGGAAAAGAAAGGAAGAATGAAAAAAGAAGAGGAAGAAGTGAAGATGGAAGAGGAAAGGAGGTAGAGAAGGAGGAAGAGGAAGATCTATTCAAAGTGAAAATAAAATTTCAAAGGAAATCCTTGTAGCCAGGTGCTGGTGGCTTGTGCCTAAAATCCTAGCTACTCAAGAGGCTGAAATCTGAGCATCTCAGTTCTAAGCCAGCCTGGATAGGAAAGACCATGAGACTCTTACCTTCAATTAAGGGCAAAAAAAACAAAAACAAAAAACAAACAAACAAACAAAACCTACAATGGGGCTGTGGCTCAAGTGGCAGAGTGCTAGCCTTGAGCAAAAAGGAGCTCAGGAACAGTACCCAGCCCCTGAGTTTCAAGCTCTAGACTAGAAAAAAAAATCTCAAAGGAAGCAGTGTTTGAAGTGAAAGGTTCATTCTTGTTCATGGTTATCGATTTCCATGTCCACCGAGGTATACTCCATGCCATTCTCCTCTCTTCCAAAAAGTCTAGATTTATATTCCAGCCATATAATGGTTGTTTCCGTTGAATCTAAACATGGAGAAACTGAATCTGGGGTAATAGGATAAATATTTATCTTGCCTTTTTCCTTCGTTTATCCAGCAAATACTAAGTGAGGAACTTCATCATCCTACCTCTCAGGAATGGGGGTGTTTGCACTATCCAGATGCTAAGGCCATGATGATGATTTTCTTCTGTTTTGAGTATGGTAAAGAAGGTACTAAAGATACAATCAGTATCCATCTAGTACTGTGGTTCAAAAAGTTAGGCTGAGAACCAGTAGCATGAGCACCAATTAGAAATGTAATCTGCCCTACCTCAGTTGAAGCAAGTGAGAATCTGCACTTAGCCGGGTCCTGGATGATACCTACCTATGTTTGCCCTTGAAACATAGTCATCTATAGAACCCCAACTACTGACAGTCAATAGCAACTGCAGCCTCAGCTCCAACAGCTGCTGTGACAGAAACTCATTCCTTTGGGCAGCCACTTTTGTTGGACAGTGTTCACTTTTAGGTTATTCCTTTTGTCAGTCAAGTGATAGTCTGTCTATTGCCATCAAGGCACCCAAGGTTCCTTTCATTTTTCAGAAAGCCTATGACGCTGGCTTCCATCTACCTGGCACAGGTCTACAGGTTCTGAGACATTGTAGAAAGAGCATGAAATGGCCCTTCAGTTCTGTCTTCTCCTTCACTACTGCCAGAATTCAAGGAGAATGGTTTGAGTGACTGTAGTTGAAAAGGGGAATGGAAAACTTGAAGGACAAGAGCAGGGAAGTGATGTATGACCAATGGAAATTGGTCATACAGGACCTATTGAAGTTATTACATTTCACTTGGATGACTTTTTAGATGTTTATTCAGAGAAACTAATTAGAGTTTGGAATTGAGTCCTCTGGTGGAAACTTTTCCAGTAGGGGCCTGGCCTTCTACAATGGGAGCCCCACTCAGAAGATGTCTTGATTATACCTGTCTCTATATCAACACATGGTTCTAGGGCTAATGAGGGACTAGGGACAATCACCTCTATCTATATCTGTTTCTGAAAGCAAGCTCTGCCCTATGAGCCCTCTGAACTTGTTTTATACATCACTAGAGTATGTCATGTGAAGCTATTTCTAGAACAGTGAGCTTGTCTGAGACTTTTTCCCTCAGGAATATGTCAAAAGTATTATGCATTTACAGCTAAGTACCCAAATGTGGCAGACTTGAGTTTATGAGCCAATTCTATCATTGGCCCTCAGTCAACAAAAACTGATACTGGTTCTCTTTTTCAGAGATTATTAGCTGAGACAGGGGAACAGTACACATACTGTACACATATGTAGGGGCATATCTGCTCCTAAAGACAGCCCTGTCATGTGTGTCTCCTGCCAATCTGGTGATCCTGTGTTGTTCATTCTTTTACTGCAGCCATATTTCCAAGTTTTCATTTCATTGCCTGAATGCTTGCTTCTAACTCTGTTACATCTGCATTTTCTCCTGTGCATCCAACATGTTGTGTGAGTTTCTCATGTGGAAACTCAGTGGCCACAGGCCGTGAGTATCCGGTGTCATCTGAGTGCAATGGTGTGGTACGTGTACTTGCTCATGCTTTTATTTTGAATCCTTCCCAACATGACATCTGCTAAAAATGTCTCCCTTATGATTTGCTTGGTGATCACAGCCTTCTCATCATTCATTGAGAGCAGGACCTGATCTCACAGAATCTGAAAAGAACTATGTGGTAAGATGCCTGTTGACTAAGACTGTAGTTTTCCTAAAGAGAATCCTTGCTGGCTCAAGTCTAGACCAAAGTAATGCCTGGGAGACACACAGAGCCGTGATGTACAAGATTCCATGGCTATTGTAGTAGAGCCAGGTGTTCGGCCACCCCCTCTCCCTTCTGAAGAAGCAGAGGGATTTCGAGATAATTTTTCCAATTTGCCTACATGTGGGATTAAATTAATGTATTAATTTATTAATGCATGACTGGGGATACATACTTGCATTTCAATCCTGAGGTTATTCCCTTTGTAACAGATATTCACTAATTACAGGCTTTTATGCTGCTGCCTTTTTATTTTTAATATTCATACTAAATCCCAAATTCTTCTATATCTTACCTGTTTTTCCATGCTTTCGCCTGGATCCCTCCTGCACTCCACTACTGGAATCTCTTTTTTTAACCTGGATCTTCAACTCTGTTTTTTCCTTGGACTTAATGTGCTTCGTCTGGAATGTTACATCTCTTCCTCTCTTCCTTTTTGTTTTTTTTTTGTCCCCACATTGACTGTTTTATGGGGGTTTCTGGATATCTTGGGGCCACCTCACAGGAAGCGGTTTGCAATGAGATCATAAACATTGCTGAGAAATCTGTTCATTACTGCAGCACTGTCTCTCATCCCCTTGACTTACATCACAAGGTATCCCCTTCTGACAAATCATCTTTAATCATTTCTCAGCAACCTCAAGCCCAGCAGCGAAGAGTCGCCCCAGACAGGAGTCAAACCTCACAAGATTTGTAAGTACAGTTGGCTAACTTTGCTTCTTACATTTCCTGGTGGACTTTGGGCTTATGACCTTAGAAAGTGGATCATGGACTGACCTTTGGGACAGCCACTTGGAGGGAATGAGTGAATCACTTCTTACTTTTTTAAGGATATCTGTTTTAAGGATTTCTATTCCTATAAGGCACTGTGAAGACAGGTGGTAGGCAAATAAAGAATGCTATGAACTACTAGGAGAAAGAGGCAGGTAGAGTTAAATTAAAAGTGAGAGCTAGGCTGGTGGGTTTCATCTCTAGTGTTGTAAGGAACACAGAAGAAAGAGTAGTTAATTTTGAGCAGAAATGAATGGACAGGTTGACTAGTTCATTCACAAATGTATTGAGCAGGGCACTTTTGGCTCATGCCTATAATCCTAGCTTCTCAGGAGGCTGAGATATGATGATCATAGTCTGAAGCCATCTGGTGCAGAAAAATCTGTAAGGCTCTTATCTCCAATTAACTAGCAAAAAGTTGAAAGTGAAGGTTTGGCTCAAGTGGTAGAGGCCTAGTCTAGAGGGAAAAAGCCAGTGTTCTACCACTTGAGCTACAGCTCCACTTCTGGCATTTTGCTAGTTAAATGGAGATGACAGTCCTCTGGACTTTCCTGCCCAGGCTGGCTTGGAACTGCAATCCTCAGCTTTCTGTCTCTTAAGTAGCTAGGATTACAAGTGTGAACACTTGTGCCTGGCTTCCACTGTTGGTTTCTAAAGTGGGAACGTCTGGCCAGGACTAGGAAATGAACAGTAGCCACTGGGCTGCCTCTCTGACCACTGGAAAAGTCATTGTAAACTTCTGAGACAGATGTTCCACTAGGAAGGGCTGAGGAGTAAGCGTGGAGGGGAGCTATAGATCAAGGATTATTGGGGACAGAACTAGGACTTGGGCATGTTTGTACCTGAGGAGCCAGAGGTAACAGAACTGAACGATGTAAACCCAGCGAAAGATGCTCCACATGACCAGGATAAAAGGGACCCTTGAATATGGAATAGGGTCAGGAAGGTGAATGGAGACACAGAAGCCCAAATCTGGAGGGAAAGATTCAATTGTTGCCATAGCAACTTAATCTTCAGAAGTAAAGACAGAGCAAGGAGCACTCCATTGAGAGTAGGGCGCCAAAACTGGCAAAGGTAGTGGAGAAAAGGCTCCATGGGACAGAGTCCTAAAGCCGTAAGAGGCTCATCCAAAATTAGAACTTAGTGAATCTATACCCAGGCCTCCAGGGTTCAGATTCTCTCCAGCCAGTGTTCACTGTCTGAAACTGACAAGCAGACACAGTAGAAATTAAGGTGACAAGATACATTGAGATGTTAGCAAGGACATATGTTGGGCAGCCAGCTGTAGGAACCAAGTTGGATAGGAAAGAGCAGACAAACGCAGATGCATTACAGCTGAAAATCTGTTTGCCTTTCTCAATTCCGCAGTAGATACCTCCATTCCAGTAGCAGAATCCACAATCAAAGTACCAGGACACTTAGAGAAATGTGTAAAGGAAGCTGTCCCTATAGTTTTAGCAGAACAGCATGAACCTCCTGTTTCTGGAAACAGACCACATGCTTGTTTCTCTTCTCTCTTAGCTACACACAGGGAGTCATTGACATGCTTAGAAATGGCAAATGATTGTTTCACTTTAAAAATTCTGCTGTTAGTGTTGTGTTTCAAAGTAATAAGTACAAAGAATTGTAAAGTTGGCACATAGTAGGTACCCCTTTAGCATCTGTTTAAGGAATAAATAAAAACAAAGACTTGCCTTGATGACAAAGTAGTATCAATGAAATTGCTATTATCAGAACAAAGATTAGCACAGACCAAATGCCTTAGGCCAAACAGTGAGTAAATTTTAAAAAAGAAAAGAAAGAAAATCTTAGTCAGTCATCACTGGGATTGGGCGGGGGGTGGGGGGGAGGCAGAAAGCTTTCAGGGGTCATAAAGCACTCAAGATGGTTTTACTAGACAGAGAATACATATGTACTTTTCATTTATTTTTCTGCCTATATCATCTACCTGTTTCATACATGCTTTATGTTTTCCAATGTATATAGCCAAAGTATAATGCCTCTAGGATTAAATAACTTCTGATTATCCTTAGTAATCTACATGTGTTCTCTTATTTTAAGAAAAAGCCTTGGATTGCTTTAAAGGCAGGGAGTAGAAGTAGGAAGGCACACTAGACAAAAAAAAATCTGACTATGGTAACCAAATAAAATTAGAGGACTTGATTGTCTTGCTTGTCACAAATTTCCATTCCTCTCATCCCTAATTAATTTATATGATGAACATATTTCCTCAAGTATCACATGATTAGAGAAGTAGATAAAATATTTTATCCTGCTAAGCTCCAGGAAGGACCAAGGCAGAAGCTCCCAAACTCAGAATGCCAACAGAGTGGACAGGGACAGTAGTGGTCACTGACCAAGTGGCTCTCTAGAGCATCTCAAGGGTCAGTCAGCCCCATCTGTGTCTCCATGAGGGGAGGAGAAGGAACTTGTACAGCTACCTGTGCACAGCCTACCACAAAAAGCCAGGACAGAGCCCCCTTTTCTCTCCAGACTCCCATATATTCATACTCCTGGAGACTGATTCTCCCTGAGGTGGGGCCTTTCTATCTGTCACCTCCTCTATCTCAGTCTTGGCCTGGCTGTGAGAGGAGGACACATGAGAGGAGGGCTCAGGAGCCAAGAAACTCTGCCATGACTCCTATTGTGTTTAAAAGAAATAGTTTTATCTTTACTGATAAATGGGAAATATTTCTTAAATATTAGTTTAACAGAAATGTGATTAAAAACTCATTATTAGCCAGGTGCCTGTGGCTCATGCCTGTAGTCCTAAAGATCATGGTTCAAAGTCAGCCCAGGCAGCAAAGTCTGTACTCAAAAAAGCCAGAAATAGCATGAGTGGCTCAAGTGATAGAGCACTAGCCTTGAGCAAAAGAAGCTCAGGGACATCCTCAGGCACACAGTTCAAGCCCCAGAACCAGAAGAAAAAAAAACTCATTATTTAATCCTGTTATCATGTGAGTCATTTATATTCTTGCTTCTCATTTATAGATTTAGCTACCAAGCATTATATAGCTATATACCACAGAATGATGATGAGTTGGAACTCCGAGATGGGGATATCGTTGATGTCATGGAAAAATGTGACGACGGATGGTTTGTTGGTAAGACTCTCATGGTATTTTTCATCCTAGATGCTCATGGAGGGAAGCAGTAGGTGTGATGAACCATCAGTGTTCTCTGTACGGAATGTAGCATTCCCAAACTCTGGTCCACAACCAAGAGATATTGCTCAGTGGTAGAGCTTTAAAAAAAATGTGTGGAGGGTACTTGGGATTGAACCCAGAGCATCACACATGCTAGATAAATGTTCTACCATTTGAGCTAGTTCTCCAGTAACCCCAGCTCTTTTGTTCTTCTTATTTTATTTTTGAGATAGAGTCTCACTAACTTTACCTGGACTTGTCTCTGGTTCAAGATCCTGCTGCCTCCATCGCTAAGTAGATGGGATTAGAAGTGTGTACCACCACACCCATGATAGAGCATTTGCTTTATCATGTGAGGCTCCCCAACACACAAATACACACACACACACACACACACAAAACTCAACAATAATAAAGAACTGTCTTTATGAAAAGAGGAAAGAAAGATCAACATTTATTGAGATTCTGTTATAACCCAGACACTGATGTGCTTTTATTGACATTTTCATATAAGTAGTCATGTACAACAACTGTTGTCCTCATACTCAAAAAGTGAGTGCAGCTGAGCACTGGTAGCTTATACATACAATCCTAGCTACCTAGAAGGCTGAGATCTGAGGACCCAGCTTTGAAGCCAGTCTGGGTAGAAATTTGTATCTCCAATTGACGACTAGAGAACTGGAAGTGGCGCTGTGCCTCAAAGTGGTAGAGCAAAGGTGCTTAGAGACAGTGCCCAGGCCCTAAGTTCAAGCCCCATGACTGACCAAAAACAAAAGTAAGAGCTGAGCAGGGAGCTGGTAGTTCATGCCTGTAATCCTAGCTACTTAGGAGGTTGAAATCTAAGGATCTGGCCTGTATAAGAAAGCCCATGAGCTTCATATCTCCAATTAAACACCAAAAAGCTGGAAGTAGAGCTCAAGTGTTAAGAGTGCTAGCCTTGAGCATAAAAGCTCAGAGACAGCACCCAGGCCCTGAGTTCAAGCCCTAGGATTAGCAAACCTTTGTGTGCGTGCACATACACACACAAATAGTAGCCAAGAAGCAATGTTGGAAGCCAGGATTCAAATTCTCTACTCCCCTTTCCCAAAGCCTATATGTTCTTTCTGCTTAGATATGAATACAACACTGGGAGACACTGACTTACTCTTTGCCTTAGTTTCCCCTTTCTTTCTGAAAACTAGCTTTTCCTCTCCTATCTCTGAAAAAAAAAAAAAAGTTGTCAAAAATTCTAGTGAGACCAGCAAGTCTTGGCATAAACAGGAAGCCAGAAAGATTTTCCTTGGCTTCAGTGGCTTCTGAATCAAAAGTTATTTGTCCTCCCAGGTCCCCCAGAAGCCCACAGTCCCCACTACCCTGAGTTCTGTTCAGAAGAGAATCAGATCTGGGAAATCAGGGGCCATTTGAATGCAGTACAGCCTCATAGAAACACTCAGCAAACCACATGTGAGATTTATAATTTTCTAGAGGCCAACTTAAAATAACAAGAAACCAGTGAAACGAATTTTATATATGTTATAAATCCAATGCATTCAAAGCATTATCGTTGAACCGATAACCAGTATAAAAATTGTTAGTGATAAAATTTAAATGCTTTTCATATTAAGTCTTTGGTATCCAATGAGCTCAGCTCATTTCAGCCTAGCCATATTTCCATTGCTTGGTTATCACATGTGGTTATCATATTAGAGTACAGCTCTACTCAGCACATGACAGACTGAGGCAGCCAGATTTCAATTTCAAGGCCAGCCTCCTGGGCCCCATAATAACTTGTCTCCAAAAATACATACATACATATATACACATATACATACATGCATACATACATACATACATACATGCATGCATGCATGCATACACACATAAGTCCAACAAGGAGAGGGGAGGGAGGAAGTGTAGTACCTGTGTACATTAGCTACTAAAGTCTTCTAGGAGTATTTCTATTTTCAGTGGGTGGGGGAGGGGCACCAGTTCTGTAATGGAGCCACCCTAGGCCATTGGATAAAGGAAGTATTTTGAATGGGTGTCTTCCTTGAACACTCCAGTTCATGAAGCAACATTTAGGAACACTCAGCTCACTTCCTTCAATACCTCAGTGAGAATGATCCCAAGACCATTGTCCCAAAGTTTGGGGTCTTTTATAGGCCTAACATTCAAAGGTCAAGCACAGTAGTCCACCAGAAGTCATTTTTTTCCCTCATCTGTAAAGAAGACACTAGCTATATATAGAAGTGCAGGTGAGCTCCTTACCACCTCAGGGCCTCACCATCCTAGTTCTGTGCAACCTTCTTGACTATCCTCCTTATATGCCTTTTAGAAATAGCACTTTGGCAAGAATCCCAGTCTGCTAGCTTTGGCTGCATGAGGGAATGTATTCAGGAGGATTCTGGAGCCAAATGGGAGCTGATTAGGACACGGATGCAGTGGTCCAATTAGAATGTCTTCTAATGACACATGGTGATAGTACAATATATCTCAGCCATCCTGCTGTAGAGTGACTCCAAGGGAAAGTTCTAGGCTAGAAGTTCCAGATGAGGAGAAGTCTAGGAAGGGCTTTGTTTCCAGATGGCTTAGTGGGACCCTTAAGTCCAGGCTTTCCCTTGCATAGGTAGTCACAGTGATGGGCTGTTAGAGATCCTACAGTTATCCAAGGTGTCCTCTTATGTTGGCTTTATGTGCTAGTTCTTCCAAAATAAGAAGTATTGGTGAGAACAATGGGCAGGAAATCAGAAGACTCACTGGGTAGATTCTGCCTCTGATACTTGTTAAGCAGAAGGACCTCAGAAGTGTCCTTTATGCTCTCCAAGGCTGGGTTCTACCACTGAAAAGGGAGAATCGTAGAAATGCCTTATTTCCTCTCATTTTGTGGCCTGAGATAAGCTAGGGGAAAGTGCTTTGGAGAGTATATAATTTTATAAGCAGCAGGATTGTTATCAAGGGATATTTGCTGAAGATCTCAGTGTCTGGGTCTTCTCACTCCTGTTTTTTTTTGTTTGTTTTTTATAGGTACTTCAAGAAGAACAAGGCAGTTTGGTACTTTTCCAGGCAACTATGTAAAACCTTTATATCTATAAGAAGACTGATAACCATAGAAATTATTTTTATTGAGAATGAAGCATAATTCATGAACTGGTCTTTATTTAAAAGTTAAGTTGGTAGGAAGATGAATGCAGTGGATAAAGTTAAGAAGTAAAAACAAAAGGAATAGAGAAGTGTGATGATTAAAACTCAAGTCTGAGCTTACTGTGTATCAGGGCTGAACCGTGTGCTGAGCAAAATGAATTGAGGCAAATCAGATTTACTTACCTGCTTCTGGAACAACTCCAGCTTTCCCTTCCCCTCACCTTCCTCTCTACCTCTACCTGGAGTAGAGTCTAGGAATGGATTAGCCAGAAATGCTTACTGGTTCCCAGCCTTACCTGCTGTCATCTCAAAGGGGTCCTTGAGCCTAGAATAACCCTTAGGGAACTAGGCAAGTAGATCCCTAGCCATGTTCTGGAGACCCCAAGCCTGGGCACCCACTGACTGCCCCATCCTCTATCCCTAGCTGTCCTGGACTAAACTGAGACTGTCTGCTAAACTGAGACTGCCCCCCTTTGCCATTGGACCTGCTGAGGTCCAGGTAAGGAAATGGAGGCAAACCAGGCACCTTGGTGTTGAGCCTGCATTACCCTTGACTATACCCTTGACATGAGGTTTGTGCTGAGATTGGGGAGCAGATGGTCAAGGCTAGGTTTGTATTTCCAAGTGACTAAGTCAAGAAGCCCTGCCACCTCGGAGGCCAGTGGCAGTGCTTAGCTTATTCCTTTCCCATATCTCTCTGGCTTTATAAACAGCTGCCTTTAGGGCAGGGCAGCTGCATTTACCGGAGCCCTATAGTAAGCTTTCTTTTCTGGCTTGGGTTTAGCTGGGAAAGTCTGGGGTTGCTAGACCCATTTTCACAGGAATCCCAGACTGGCATCTAGAGTTTATTTAACATGCAGTGACATGCTCTGGTTACTGGTCTATCCATGAGGCCCTGGGCTGAAAAGAAATGCCAGGTTTCCAATTCCCCCCCAAATCCCCAGAAGACTTCAAGGACCACTCAACATGTTGGCACCCCCAGGTTGTGAGTATTCTTCATGCACCTGCAGAGGCTTCCAAGGTGTGGATCAGTGGCTTGAGTATAAGCAGCAACTTTCCACAAGCAGCAGTGACCAGAAGTCTGCCCTGTGTGGGGGCTGCATCTGAGGAGGGAACCTCTGGGCTGCATGGCTGCTTCACCACTACTCTGACGCAGCTGTGATAAAGATGTTTTATTAGCTTCTCTGTTAGACTTTTCAGTGACACAGAGATAGAGGCGCCCCATTTTCTGCCCACTAGGAACTGAAGGTGAGTGGGGAGACAGAAAAAATAAAGTGACTGCAAAGAGAGATTGTGATGCGTGCTAAGGAAGTTTGAGAGAAGAGATGAGTTTCCCCTGGAGGGACCCTGGAAGGCGTCCCCTGGAGGGATCCTGGAAGGCGTCCTGGTATTTCTGTCTCCATACCTCACTTCTGAAAGAGGATACTGAGAGAACTTTAGACTGGGAGTCATTCTGGCTGGAAATACTTGGAACTTTTTTCCAGAGTCTCCAAACTCTCATCCTCCCCACAAATCCATTTCCAAGGTGACAAATAGGAGTAGCAATTCTAAGTGGTAGGGGTGTATACTGGAACCCTGGCTCTCTGCAGCTAGGTCAGAATTACCCCAGGACCACTGTCCTAAAATCTGGAATCTTTTCCAAGTAGATAAAACTTGTCTTTAGTACCTCTGCCTCAGTGGTTGTCCCAGACACTCATCTTAAGATCCCACCAGCTTCCCGCCACCTGCCAATCAGCCTCAGTATCCTCACTTTCTCCCTAACCTTTCAAGGAGGCTTTCAAGAAAAAAAATTACTCCTGACTAATTTGCACTGAAGTGTAAATGGCTGATAAGAAGAATGTGTTGCCTCTTCTCTAGAGACATTTGTTTGGAACTAGGACAAATTGGAGCCTTAATCCCAAGGGAAAAGTGTGTGTGTTTGTGGAACTTCAGGGCAGAAGGTTTTATGGTAGAACGAAGCTTCTTGATTTTTTTCTAGGACCCCATGACTGTATGACCTATAGCTTTGGAAGCTCTGCTCCCCCATCCCAGAGCACAGAGCCTGATTTTTTACTTTTGTCTCTGAAGGAATATAGTAAAAATGCATATGTGCATGCATTTTGCCCAGCAGCGTTTCTCCCCATTTGGAATGTAATCCTTATATTGGCTGTGTTTCTTGGTCTTTCTTAAACACAAACCATTAATAATGAAATCTTATTTAACTTTTTTGGAGGGGTGCTTCTTGATTAATAGGTAATTTTGAACACCTCTTTAAATACAGCTAGAAAGTAAAACCAACTTGTAAAGCCACCTTTGCATCTGATGCCAGCTTCACGCAGCGTCTGTCTCTCTCCCCAAATACAGGGGTTGCCTTGCCAACTTGCTCTTCTTTAATAAAATCACATGTTAAAATTCACATCCCCTCAGTTTCCTATGACTCTGTGTGAAAAAACAGGGAACACAGGTTCCCAATTACTCTTTTGTCTTCAGACATTTAGTAACATAAATTACCTATTTTTTATGCTGAAATGTTTATACAGGTTTATTAATAGCAAGTGTAACTACCTGGTGACATGCCTTGCAACAGGTTTTGATATATTAGCCATGCTTCCAGGTAAAGGCTAGCCCTAAACTACATATCTTTTGCAGTCTCTCTGGGATCAGTAAAAGGAAAAAAAATTCATATGCTCGAGAACTGGGAGTGTAAATATGTATATTTAACTTTGTATAGTCCATGTACCTACCTTGTATAGAAAAAGTTTTAAAAATTTGAACAGAAGGGAGTAAAATAAGGGAGTCACAGAGGGGTTTTGTTTTGCATTTTTATTTAAATGAAGGAATTTCAAAGTATTCACTTTTAGCACATTTGCCATTGGAAACTGTTAACATTTACAATAATAATTCTTCTGGAAAGAGAAGGTAACTATTATTTCAGTTGCAGTTTAAAAAAACTTTTTTTTTTGCAGTTCTGCAGTAGAATTAAATCCTGTTGCTAGAATAGACTACTATCAAAAAAAAGATCATATTCTGAGAGAACTGACATTATATATAACCAATTAATTTAAAGCATTGCCATTTAAATTTTCACACTGAGTGCATGTACTCTGCAGGCACGGATTTTTCTGTTCATTTATTTTTCTTTTCTGCAGTGGATTGATTTGATAAATAGATGTGTTAAATTACTACCTTTGCTGTACATATTATTTAATAAACTTTATTAAGAATTGTGTGGCATATGTTCTTGCCATTCATTCCTTTGTCAAGTTTTCCAAGTGAGACTTCGGGTCATGCTTCAGTTTCTCATGGTCTGTTCTCAGTTGCTCATATTCTGACCCCCCACCCCCATTCTTGAACACCACTTCTTTCTCTTACTCATTGGCTCTGTCTAAATTGGCTACTATTGATCATCTTGCCTTTCTTTCTACAATATATTATTTGTTCTGATAACAAAAATAATGCTCGTCTTTAAAAGCTTAATAAAACGTGGGGGGGAAGCGAGAGGGAGGGAAGGAAGGAAGGAAGGAAGGAGAAAGAGAGAGGGAGGGAGGGAGGTTCTAATTTGTTCCTCAAATCATGAGGGAAGCCCAGGCACCAATGGCTCACATCTGTAATCCTAGCTACTCGGGAGGCTGAGGTCTGAAGATCATGGTTTGAAGCCAGCCTGGGCAGGAAAGTTTATGAGACTTACCTCTAATCAACTACTCAGAAAAAGTTGGAAGTGGTGCTAAGTTTCAAGTGGTAGAATGCTTCCTTGAGCACAAAAAGGTTCAAGGACATCAACCAGGGCCTGAGTTTAAGCCCAACAACCAACAAAAAACAAACAAGCAAACACATGAAGGAAAAGCCTGGTGCCAGTGGCTCATAAGAATGGCTATGTGGGAGGCTGAGAACTGAGGATTGTGGCCTGAAGCTAGCCTGGGCAGGAATGTCTGTGTGACTCATGTCCAGCAAAAAGCTGGAAGTGGAGCTGTGGCTCAAGTGATAAAGTGTAGGCCTTGTGTGAAACAGATAAGGGACAGTGCCAGGCCCTAAGGTCAAGACCTAGTACTACCTCACCCCCACCCCCCAAAAAAGGGGGACATAATACATGAACTTTTGAAATCATTAAATGTGTCTGTGAAATTTCTCTTGCTATAGTGGGTTATTTGTTTTACCCCAAGTCAGTTGTATCTAGGCACTCAGCATCCATTCCCCCTGGCATTTCATGGCTGCCAATGGGGTATGATCTGCTGCCCATGGAGCATAGGGCTATCCACAAAGAGATAACCCCAAACCTCCATCTTCTCTCCCTGTTCAGACCTGCACCTCCTCTGACTAAGCACAGTTTGCCCACACTGCCTCTGGGCAGCTGGGTAGACTTAGGCCTCTGATGGACCTGGGAGTGGGGTTGTCTTCTGACATCTGTTGATCTTCACCTGAGACCTGCCAACCTTTCTCTGATATCTCCAGCCCACCCAGCAAATTCCTCAAGACTGTGTGTAGCAGCCAGCCACTTATGCCATCATAGTCGAAACCATTTCCTCTCACCTAAATCATTCTGGTCTCCCTGCTTCTACCTTTTTCTTGTCTTATCTTCGCCAGTCTTGACAGAGCAATCAGATTAATCATTTTATCATTGGTCTAAAACTCTACACGTTTCTCCTTGCAATCAGAGTAGACTCAAGTTCATTATCTGACTGACGTGCTAGTTTGTCATTGCTTGTTCCAGCCCTCAGGCTCCGCTGTTGTGTCAGGCTCATCAAACACACTTCAGCTTTTGGGCTTTAAGCTTACTATTCCATGTGCTTGGAGTTGCCTGGCTTCCTTCCTCCCTTCCTCTAGGTCTTCCTGTGGTCTGCTCAATGATGCTTAACTACTTTGCACAAAGTAGGAGCCTACAGTTTGCCTGGTACATTCTATGCTTCTGTTTCTGCATAAACTCTACTTGATATTTGTCTTCTTCTAAGCTAAACTATAGTATCTTTGAGGGTATTCCTTTTGTTCCAAAAACAGTTCTCAATGGGTCTCAGTCCCTTTGAAAATCAAATAATCAAGCGAAAGAGTGAGCAAATCCCTCAGGCCTAAGGAACTAGAATTTAGAAAAAGAAAAACTTTATTACTTTTTGTGACAGGATCTCACTAGATAGCTTAAACTAGCCTTGAACTCATATCTTCAGCTTCAGCCTCCCCCAGTTACACTTTAACTGGGCCTACAAGTATACACCATCATGCCCAGTGGAGAACTCAGAGTACTTTATGCTAATGAAAAGGAAACATGCCATTTTTATGGCAACAGAAACATCAGAAATTAATTTCAATTTAAGCTGGTTTGTACAGACATAGGATTGAAAGTTCTTGTCATTAAGTCCTTTCCCACAGAGGTCCTTGCTGACTCTCCTATGTACGGTCCTCTGAGCTGGCCTTTTTGCACATTCTAAACACACCAATCTCAAAACAAATTCTCTACATAGTCTTATACTTCTTTCCTTCAATAGAACTTGGAGACTGTTCGATGCCAAATAGGTGAGATTATCGCCAGCCTCTACCACAGCAAACAGTGCTGCTTTTTGTCAGACTGTTGGCTCCAAAAGCAGGACAAGTCAAGTTGCTTTATTAAAAGCACCAAATTATCCTCCTAGGAAGTCCACAGAAGTGTTTCCCACCTCCCAATTAAAACAACCCCATTGTCAGCTTCCATGTTCTTTGGCTCTGGCTGAGCCCCTTCTCAATCAATCCAGTTTCTCAACTCTCTCAGCACTTTCTTCCCTTCCAACACACGTTCCTTCAGGGAGTGGATTCCTCACAATGTAATTATGGCCCAAAGACTCCTCCTTGCAATGATTAAGTGGTAGGAACCCAACACTACTAGCATTTGTACAGATATATAGAAGGGAGTTAGAAATAGCCTCAGGCAGGAGCAGACCCAGAAACTCAAGCTTTCTGTCTGTATTTATCTTATTTTTGGCTCTGTTGGTCTTATTTGGCTCCATTTTCACCCACTGAGGACAGCAATGGGGAACCAGGCCACAGCTTCATTTCCAGTTCTCTGACTCTAGATTCCGCAGGCAAAATGGCCTTCCTATTTGGCTTTCCTAAAAAGAATTCCTGACTCTGGAAAATGCCACCTGGGTTTTATGCTTGCCTGGACCAGGCACTTTGGTCAAAGGAGGAGGACTCTGTTTGACAGCCTTACCAGAACCTTTTGGAATAGAGATGAGAGAGAATTACTGCTATATAAAGGTGAGAAGGAAACAAGATAAGAAAGTAAATAGACCCCTCGAATTAGAAAGAGTGATTGGAATGAACTTTGGAAAAATGAAACACTAATGTCCAATTGAACTTCAATGTGGCTGAGTGCAGGCCACAAACAATCTATTTTGGCCATATTCAACCTCCTTCATCTTTGTTGTGCCGAAAGTCTGCTAGCCAAGGTCTTGAGAAGAACAAGTAGAGGGTGATGTTCATTCTGTGGATGAGCCAATGTGGCCACAAGGGCATAGCACAACTCTTCTGCTAAAAATACCAGGTCTGTTCTGAAAGGGAACAACAGTGTTTGGATGCATTGTATATGGGTATATTGGCCAAGTCTTAGCATGTAGAAATCAAAGCTGGCTCATTTAGCCAGGCCATTTCAGGACTAGAGAAAAGTCATCACTCCAGTCAGGTAATTTGTGGATTGAATTACGTGAGAAAATGGTCTGAATTGAAAAGATAAAAGACTTCCTTTAATCTGTGTGGGACACATGCCACGACCATCAGTAGATGCCCCAGCTTGGTAGGTAGGTCTATTCCTATCTATATTATATTTTCTTCCTATATACGCACAAATGTAACAAATAGCAATTTATACAAGAGACTACTTAGGAGGAGAAGAGGAAAGGGTAAGGGAAAAAGAAATATAGAGGGCCAATAATCTTGTAATACATTGCATATATGAAAATGGCACATAGAACAACAAAAGCTGTTGATCAACAGGCTCGTGGGGACAGTAAAAGAAATTGACAGTAAGTACTAGAGGGAAGGGGGGCGGGGGGCTGCCAAGAAGAATGAATGAAGTTGACTATGAGTGAAATAGATTATTTGCAACTATGAAAATAGAACAATGAACATGGTTGCAATTGTGTCGGGGAGGAGGAGTAGAAGAAGGGACAGTAATAGAAGAGATGAGATTGATGGGTATATATCATAAATGTATGGAAATATAAAAATGAAATCTTCCTGTATAACTTATGTAAAGTAACAATAAAACAGTGCGGGGAGGGGGGAGGACTGAAGGGGATGGAAAGTGGGAGAAAAATGAGGAAGGGGGTAACAAGTTTAACAAGAAACGTACTCACTACCTTACTTATGTACTGTAACCCCTCTGTAAATTGCCTTGACAATAAAATTAAAATAATTTTAAAAAGTTTAAAAGTCAGGCACAGAGAAATTCACCTTAACTAAGGAATTAGATCATTATAACGAAGACACTATAATAAATGTTTTGTGAATGTAACCTCCTTCAGAATACCCATATTGAACACCCTCATCTTGACTGTAGGTAACTGATACACTGGGGAGTGGAAGCACAGATAATGGGGTGACTACCATATTCAACAAAGCTGAAGGTAAACCCATAGATGCAACAACATAAGAAAGGAAGTTCTGAATGATCACATGATACTTGAGTCCAGCCTGGTACACAGCTTGCTGCTCTTCCAAAACTTTCACTCTGGTATCAGCAGATGCAAACTATTGGGTAAATGTGCATCATTACTGCTGTCATTCTCTAGCTTCCATAAGTCCCCTGAATATATAAAGGCTGTATGTGTACATCTGCTTTTTTTTCACTTAGTGTATCAGAAACACCTTTCTTGTCACTCCTATTGATCTCCGCCTCTTCATTCTGATGATTACATGTTATTCCAAAGTGTAGTTGTGCCACAGTATGCTTAGAAAGACTCTGTTACTGACATTTGAGAAGTGTCCAATATTTTGTAATTGTGGAGAATTCTCTAGTGAATATCTTTAGTATCTTGAATGACTACTTTTTTCTCTCTCTCTAGATAAAGTCCTAGTAATGGGATAGTTAGGTTAAAGATACGCTGTACTTAAACATTTCAACATATTTATATTTATCATTCGACTAGGGACTGACCAGACCTGTCAGCTGTTCCTTCAAAAATTTGGGGCTGAACTTTCCTGTGTTGAAAAATGTCATCATCTGACATCCCCTTCAATGGTAGCATCCCCTGAAATCTTCCCACTCACAAAAT